TCTATCTAACGACCTATCCATCTGCCTATCTATCTATCCATCTATCTATCTGTCTGTCTATTTATCTATCTATCTATCGATCTATCTATCTATCTAGCTATCTATCTATCTATCTATCTATCTATCTATCTAGCTATGTATCTATCTATCTATCTATCCATCTATCTATCTATCTATCTGTCCATCTACCAGTCTACTTACTATCCATCTATCTAACTATCTCTCTATCTATCTGTCTATCTGTTTATTTATCTATCTGTCTATCTATCTATCTATCTATCTATCTATCTATCCATTTACCTGTGTACTTGGTTAACTATCTGTCCATCAATCTATCTATCGACCTATGCATGTATGTATGCATATATATATATATAGATATACATAGAGAGAGAGAGAGTACACATATATATGTGTGTGTGTATACAGACACACACACACACACATGCCCCCATAAAGAGAGCTTGTTAGGATCCCTTGTTGAGATTCAAGTAGGGTCATTTTTCGAAAATGGCAATGTTCGTTTAGGGTTTCGGCTCAGCGATTGTCGTGACCCAGGAATACTCCGAGATCAAGGATGTTCAATCGCTGAAGCGGCACCTGCAAGGCTATTGCGGCCTACCGAGGTTCTCAGGGTTTAGGCTTTAGGGTTTAGGGGGCTTCAACCAGTGTAGGTGGGATTCAGGATCCCTTTTATTTGGACCCTGAGCCTAAACCCTGAGCCTCGATTTGGGATTACCGCTGAACCCTAAAGCCCGAAACCCTAAAACCCTAAAGTCCCTAAAGCGCTAAAAAAGTCCTAAGCTCTCAACTCATAGACCCCAAACCCTGGCCACATCCCATCTCCTTGGACTAAACCCTAAACCCTAAACCTGAAAACCCTAAGCCCTAAAGCCTAAACCCTGAATCCTAAACCCTAAACCCTAATTAAGCCCGAATTAAGCTCTAAACCCTACAACCTAAATCTTAAACCCTAAACCCTAAACCCGAAACCCTAAACCTTAAACCCGAAGCCCTAAACCCTAAGCTGAGGTTCAGGCAAAGAATTTTGCACCAGGGCACGGAGCTCCAGGACCACTTCTAGCATTAATTTTGGGATCTTAAGAAGTACCTATTTTGGGGGGTTTAGGGTTTAGGGGTTAGGGACCACTGGGGTTTAGGGTTTACGGGTTTAGGGTTTAGGGTTTTAGGGTTTAGGGTTTAGGGTTTAGGGTTTAGGGTTTAGGGTCGATCCCCAACTGTGGGAAGCTGCGGCTTTTGAGGTTTCGGGGTTCAGGGTTCAGGCTTTCAAGGGCTCAGTGTTTATGTCTTGAGGGCTTTGGGGTTCAGAGTTTGGGTGTGAGGGGTTCAGGGTTAGGTGTTAGGGGTCTAAGGGTTTAGGGTTTAGGGTTTTAGGGGTTAGGGTTTAGGGTTTGGGGTATTTGGGGTTATTGAAACTTAACCCCTTGTAGGGCTATGTTGCCTGAACGGTTTGTTTTTGGGAGCTTGTCCGGGTTCCAATGCACACCCTTTGTACCCCCGCGCGCCTAAGCACTGTAAACTCAAAACCTTGAGGTTTAGGGTTTAGGGTTGCTCGGAATCCGAAACCCCAAACTCCCAAAAACTCTAAAGCCCAAGCCCTAAACCCCCAAAAACCCTAAAGCCTAAACCCTAAACCCTAAACCCTAAACCCTAATCCCTAAACCCTAAACCCCAAACTCCTAGAAACTCGAACCCCAAAGCTTCCAAGTTCCTACACGCCCAAGACCCCCAAGCTCCGAAAGCCCGAGGTTTCGGTTTAGGGTTTAAAAGGGTTAGGGTTTAGGGTTCAGGGTTCAGGGTTCAGGGTTCAGGGTTCAGGGTTTAGGGTTTAGGGTTTAGGGTTTAGGGTTTAGGGTTTAGGGTTTAGGTTATATGGTTTAGGATTTAGGGTTTAGGGTATATGGTGTTTTGCTCCGCTCTGGACTCTGGTAGCCTAGACCTGGCGACCCCCTCTCTTAAGCCTAATTTCCCTAGTCGGGTTCTCAATATCTAGACTCCTACGGTTTAGGGTTTAGGGCTGAGGTTCCCTTTAAACCCTAAACCCTAAACCCTAAACCCAAAACCCCGAATGCCCGGCAGGAAGATGCCAGATTGGAGTCTCTCACTGAAGTGCAGCTGGTTGCACTGAGCTTCTTCAGCCCCACTGAGCAGCAATTGACGGACTTCGCCAGTGCCATACGACCCTTTCGGACCAAAAAAACCTAAACATCACACTGTGTATAAGGTTTCATAGGCATGCAACATATAGCCCCGCGCTGGGTCACTTCGTCCTTCAGGACTGTCGCAGGCAAGCGAGGTGGAGCGCTATTTACAGCTTCCGCTAGACCCAGATCATCGGACAAGGCCAACTGAACAGACACCCCTCTCATTGGCAGCCGGCTTGTGGGGAAATCTGGAGGTCGCTTCGCTTTTGCTGGAGGCCCGGGCCAATGTGAATATTCCTGACGGAGACGGTGCCACGGCGCTTATATGGGCATGTGACTTCGATAGCCAATGGGAGAACTTTATAAACTTCTTGGCTTTATATATTAGGTCTATCCTAAAAACTTTGAACTTTTTTGGGGCCAACCCTAAACCCTAAACCCTTGTTGAAGAAGAGAGGTGAAGATGGCTTATTGGACACGGCACGTTTGCTGTTGGAAGCTCGGGCAGACGTGAGAGCAGCAGATGTTGATGGCTGCCATGCCCTGGGACAAGCAGCGAGCCAAGGCCCTTTTAAACCTAAACCCTAAACCCTA